AAAAAAAAAAAAAAAAAAAAAAACCAAAACAGAAAAACAAACAAACACACAGGCACTAGAAAGGCTTGGTAGAAGGAAACTGTAGTCTTGTTTTTACAGAACTAGAAAGGGATGCTTCCTATCTGTCCAGCACTTGGTGAGTTTGGATGGTAACCATGTAACAAAACACTCACTGCACTTGAAAACTATCACCTAGAGCAGAACCCACCTGTGTTGGATGGAGTAAAGCCTGGCAAGGATGGGCTGTTGAGGCCCGGGAGCAACACAGGAGGAATGCCCTGGAGCGCTGGATATGCCGTAGGAAGGTTCAGAGCCTGAAGAGGGGCGTTGTCAAACATCCCTTGCTGCTGAGCTGCCAGTCCAAGGACCTCATTGGCCTTTTTAATCCGGTCCAGCTCTTGTTGAGCCATCAACTGACGTACAGTGGCTGGGTCAAAGTATTCTTTCTCCTTGTCCAACTGGCTTCCAATGGTGTCTTTAACTTTGGAGATATGCTGTTGGGAAAAGATATGGTCACGTACAGACAGCCGAGCGCTGTACTTGATGCCACACAAAGTGCACTCTGTTTTGGGTCCCTCATAACTCGTTTGGTTTATACCAAAATGCTTGGCCATGCTTAACTTGGACTTCTTCTCTTTTGCCCGGGCATTCTGGAACCAGACCTGAACAACTCTCTTTGGCAGTCCAATGTCATTGCCCAGGACCTCACACTCTAGCATAGTGGGTGTCCTATAGTCATTGAAGCATGACTTGAGGACCTTCAGCTGCAGATTGGTCATCTGAGTGCGAAAACGTTTCTGCCCAGGCCGATCCCCGCTGTCACCAGATTTGCCTGCGGACCCACTCGCACCAGGACTTGGGGAGCAGGGGTCTGCAAGACTTGAGGTTTCACTGTAGTCCACTGTACCTTCGTTGTCATATTCCTTGCTATAAAAGCTCGGGGCTGGGCTGACCAGACCAGAGGACAACCGATCTTCATACTCAGACATTGCCATCATGGCCGCTTTGGTCAACCCTTCATTGGGTGCAGAAGATTTGGTTTCAGTTGCTATTCCCGTCGCACTGTCATTATCTGCATTGCCCTCGTCTCCTGTTGTGGTGTCGGTGATTGCCGTGTTGACAGAGGAACAATCATCGTTGTCCAGCTTAGTTTGGTCAAAGTTTAGGTTAACCGAGGACATAGAGGGGCTTTCGAAGTCTTCAATCCCTTCCACTTTGATGGAGGAAGGGCTGAGAAGAGTTCTGGGAGACAACTCCATGGTTTTACTCACAGGCGACAAGGGGACACCCTGACCATCACTACCGCTTGGGGGTAGGTGGGAAAAGCTAGTTCCATCGAAAATATCTCCTTTCATCTGGAGGCCCCCATCGCAGTCTAAGAGCATCGCAGACAGAGTTAGGTTATAGCCAGCTCTCTTGGCTTCATGCCAGTGACGGGACCGGATATGAGCCTCAAGGGCAGTCTTGGCTTTGAAGAGCGCTCTGCAAAAAGGGCATCTCCTGTGGGCCTGCGCTGGGCCCACAGCCCGGAACTGTCCTTTCCGTTCCCGAGCTCGAGTGTTCTGAAACCAGACTTGCACCACACGTTTCTTCAAACCCACCTCATGCGCAATATGATCCAACATCTTTCGAGTTGGATTGGAGTCCAGTAGATACTTTTGGTAGAGAATTTCCAGCTGTTCGGGTGTAATAGTTGTCCTCAAACGCTTGTCTCTCTGAGGCTCTTCCCCTCCTGTCCCACTGTCGTTTTCACCAGGGCTTGCACTGGCCTTCTCCTCCAGCTTCCTCTTCAGAGTGTTCATCGTGGAGGTTGGCGTGGAGGGAGAAGTGGCAGAACTTGCTGGAATCTGAGGTATGGCTCCGGAGAGCAGCTGGCTGGCCAGGAGTGGGTTACTGGGGTCGAACAGCATGAAAGGCATGTCCAGTGACCTGTCCAGGAACTGGGGGTGGATGAACTGGTTCTGTGCACTCAAGAAGTGAAGTTGCTGATGCTCTTGCCAGTGCTCAAACGATGGAAATGCCAACTTACACTGGTCACACTGGTAGGGTATGAGCTGAGGAGGTAGGTTGGCCAGCTGTTGAGGCGTTGATGTGTGGAGAGGTTTGAGGGGCAGATGGGAGAGCTGAGAGGGACTGGGGCTCGACTGAGGCAAGGGGCACTGAGGAGGAGGCGCCTGTGGAGGAGGCTGTGGCAAGGAAGGAGGGGCGGCCAGCTGTGGGAGCTTTTGCTGGGGCACAGTTGTCTTCTGCTCAGGTTGGTCTTGCTGCTGAAGCTCTGGCTTTGGTTGTCCTTGCTTTTCTTGGGTTTGGTTTGGCTGTGCACTGGGAGGTTCAGCTTGCTTTGGTTTCTCATCACTTGCTTCTGTTTTTGAATTAAAGGTGCCCAGCTCGTCAGCCTCTGCTGTAAGCTGCAGGAAAGCAGAGGGAGCTGGATTGGCTGATGGCACTGGGGCACTGTAAGCCTGGGAGGGCATTGGTGTGCTGCAGGAGGAACTGGTCGGTGTGAGGATTTCCATGGCATCCATGGAATCCTCATTTTGGCTGTCATCCTGCCCCTCCTCATCCTCATCCTTGTAACACAGCTTCTTCTGGTGCTTGATGAGATCAAAGATGCGCTGAAACACCAGGCTACATTTTTTGCACTGGTAGTTCAAGTTGCTTGTTCGAATATATCTATCATTTGTAAGCTCACGCCGCTCTCCATCTTTGCCCTCTCCCTGATTCTCGTAATTTTTCCTGGCCTTCTGTCGGGCATTCTGGAACCACACCACAATGACCCGGGTTGGAAGGTTCAGTAAATTAGAGAGCTGCTCAAATTCATCATCCTTTGGGTAAGCATTGGCATCAAAGAAGTCCTGGAGGACTCGGAGTTGGTAGTCAGTAAACCTTGTTCTTGATGATCTCTTGCTTCCCCAGTACTCCTGCTTCTGAGGTTCTGGGGAAGGGGGTCGAGAGTCAATCTTGAGCTCTTCCAGGCTGGTGATGGGAGGATTGCTGAAGTTGTAAGGGGAGTCCTTGTTACGCTGCCGCTCTTTGAAGAGAGTGTTCCTGAACCAGTGCTTGATCACTTTCTGGGGCAACCCAGACTTGTCGGCCATCTCTTTGATCTGTTCTTCACTGGGGGAATTGTTAATGTCAAAATATTGCCGGAGCACTCGGAGCTGGTCATCCGTGATTCTGGTGCGAGGCCTCTTGTTCTGCTGCTGGAGCAGGGTTGGATTGAGCTGATGCTGATACAGCTGGGCCAGGTCTGCAGGCAGAGGCTCCACAGGGCCAAGCTGAGGGGGCAGCTGGGCTGGCAAGGTCTGCAGCGGCATTGTCTGCATCATCAATGGTGAGAAGATGGGCAGTTCCATTGGCATAGAGAGCTGGGTGAGCGGCACAGATGGCTGGGCTGGCGCAATTGTTGGTGAAGTGATAGGCGGGGCTGATGCAGGGATGGCTGGCGCAGAAGCTGGCTGAGGGGGTGCTGCAGGAAGCGGGGGTGGCGGAGGGGGTGGTGGAGGGGGTGGTGGCTCCGGGGTCTGGGGCCTCAAAGGGTACAGTTTGTCATAGTGCTCTCGGTACTGTTTGGCAAACCTCTCGAGCTGTTTAAAGGGAAAATAATTCTGATGAACATGTTCCTGATGACTCTTTAAGATCAAGATGTTAGAAAATAACTTGCCGCAGGAATCGCACTCAAGCTTTTCCAGGTTCTCTCCCTGTTCTGTCTTCCCATTCTTCTTCTGCACCTTCTGCTTGTTCTCATTGTACTGAATGACCAGCTCAAAGCCAAAGTTCTCCAGCAAGGCCTTGGTGGCGTTCCCTCTGGCATCCGAGGCAATGCGCGGAGGAAGCATAGAAGGCTCAGAACTACCCCCTGGTGCCAACTCTTTTTTCTCTTTGGCCTTCAAGGCATCTGGCAACAATTCCTTCGGACCCGTGCTGCCTTCTCCCCCCTCCACACCCTCCCTCTCTCTCTGGCTTTCTTTTTCCTTCTCTTTAATGACCGATTTATTTTTCTTTTCGGGGTGCTGGCTTGGCTGAAGGAGAGCAGAGTGGCTCTGGGACAGAGAGAGTTGACTTTGCTGCTGCTGCTGCTGTTGCTGCTGCTGCTGCTGCTGCTGCTGCTGCTGCTGCTGTAGGATCTGTTGGTGACTCTGCTGTGGGATCTGAACCTGAGCCTTCAGATCTTCCAGTAGGCCTGGGCCAGTCCCTGTCAGCGTCAGTGCCCCGCTGGTAACTGGCAAGCTCACCTCAGGGTTGAGCTGGAACTCAGCACTCGGGATATAGAAAGGGAAGAGGAGATGCTGCTGCTGTTGCAGTTGCAGCAGTGTCTCAGTGGTCATGGGGAAGTGAGGAAGGAGGGTAGGGTTAAATAGCTGCGACTGGATCAGGGCAGCCTGCTGCTGCAGCTCCTGCTGTAAGTGAGCCTGAACTTGAGCCTGAGCCTGGGCCAGTGTCTGTGCTTGCTGCTGCTGCTGCTGCTGCTGCTGCTGCTGCTGCTGCTGTTGTTGTTGTTGCTGCTGTTGCTGTTGCTGCTGCTGCTGCTGCCTGGATGCAATCATATCCGCCAGCTTCTTCCGATTGGCCTCCTTGGGCTCTGAAGGAGAGGCGATGTTGGCACCAATAGGATTCCCTAGAGGTGGCATCCCAACACTGTCAGTGGGCACTTGGCTCAGTAAATTGGAGCTTGGTGCAATGCCAGCACTACTTGGATTGGTGGTGGTAAAGGTGTTACTGCCACTGGTGCTCACAGGACTTGGTATGGAGGAGCTCAGGGAGACACTGCTACTGTTCCCAGTCCCATTGCTGCTGCCACTTGCAGCCTCCAGCTTGGCTGCCCTGGCTTTGGTTTGATGCAACACAGACCTCATGTGGATCTCCAGAGTAGAACTCTGGCTATAAGCCACATTACAAGTGTTACACTTAAAAGGTTTATTGTCTGGGCTGCTGGTGGGTTCTGGTTGACCAGTTGCAGATTCTTGAAGGGCTCTTTTTAACTTATGCAGGTGGGAGACAGAATTGTAGTGCACTAGTAGGATATTCTTTTGAGTGAAAGACTCCTTACAGACAGTACACTTGTAAGGGCGAGAAGGGTCTAGAAATTTTTCCATGGTAAAGTTGGGGCCTTTTCTGAAAGGCAGAGCTCTCTTTGGCTCTGAGCCTGAATCTTCTTGTACTGACCCAGAGTCACTGCCTGTTGGGCTTTGTTTGTCTTCCAAGTCACTTTCTTCCTCCTTGTCTTCTTCCACAATTATGGTGTGGTCTTCAGCCAGCGTGGGATCTCCCATTGCCAGGAGGTCCCCATTGGCCAAAAGGCCACCATAAAGTTGCTGGATGTCAGCCTCACTCAACTCCAGGTGGCTTGTCTCGAGGTGTTTTTTCAGAGCCTGGAAAGTTCGGAAACTGCGCTGACAAAGACAGCACATGGTGGCAGCTCTGATCACATGGTACTGAGAATGGAGCTGCAACTTTTCAATTGTCTTGAATGCCAGACTGCACTGGTTACAGCGGTACTTGTATACATGGCGATCTGACACAGGCAACTGAGGCCTCTTGGCATGCACCTCATTAAAATGTGTCTGAAGGGCAGCAGAAGTTTTAAAAACCTGGTTGCACCCCTTTTTCCAGCAGAGAAAGCCTGAGTCTTCTCTCACAGAGCCTGGATCAGCAGAAGAGGTTTTTAAATCTCCACTGTGCTCTGTGCTCGCAGATGGCAAGATGTTTTTTCCCAGATCTTCTGAGGTTTCTGTAAAAAAATCAAACCCAAAGATAAAGGCTTTGTTTCCAGGATGACACCCCAAGCCATCTACGTAGCCAGGCTTCATGAAGTTTTCAACCTGAACAACAGAATCTCTCTACTGTGCCAGTATAGTACACATTATAAGCAAGATGCACACTGACAGAGATGAACATAGAAAGGACAGAAAAAGTGTCGATTCATAACAGGCCCGTGTCATATCAGATCTCACAGTCTTCTAAATAGTATTTACTTTTTAAAAATAGTACTTATTTGTTTGACCTAGAGTCTTCAAGCATCTCTTTTCATGTTTTAGCACAGCAGATCTGAATTGTAATGCTGCCCTTATATGTGGGAAGATTTAGAAAAACTATTGTCTAAGAAATTTTGGATCATAGTTTGTAAGCATTTCATTTCTTGTTATAGCATGACTTTTGACTGTCATCTGTATTCACCCAAAAATGAACATTCATGTGTCCAATTACTAAAACGATTAAAAATTTTTTTCTACAATGAGATCATCGTATTTATAAATACTGTGACCCTTTCCAGGTCATCCGTCTGCTGCCTAATATGGAAAAACCACAAGGGAGAGGCTGGACAGTTGTGTGGTTGAACTGTTTCTAACTTAAACCATAGGGGCCTGTGAGAGGTAAAAAGATGTAGGACAACTTTGAAAATGTCTAACAATCCACTGAGTTAGGAACCACTACATGTCAACAATAATTTGCAGCACCATGTGTCAGCAATAATAGTTTCTGCAAAGGCACTTCTGTGCTTCATTTTAAGGCAACCCCAGAAGATGTAAGAAACTCTGCCAAGGTAGCACCAAGACAGACAGCTAATCTGGTGCCTCCCAAATCAACCTACATGTTCCACAAGTCCCTAATAACTACGTCCTCAGAGATGATGGCCTAGGATGGTGGGTCTATGGGCCTACAAACCGGTCACTCACACCCTGATGGTATAGTCTTAAGTGCACATGAATCCATACCCACATCCCACTGATGCTCAAACAGATTTCTCTCTCTTTAAACCATAAAAATATACAAACACATGCCAAGAACCAGAGTAGGAAGCAGTTGACAGTGACCCTTTTCTCCCTATCAGTCCCATTCAGCTTAGAATATTGTAAAGAATTTCTGGATCCTTGCCCCATGAAAATCTTGGCCCAAGATTTCCACTTGTTTCAATCTTGGAAGTCAAGACGAATGATACCAACCGGGCTGCTTTCCTGCCTCTTCCAAACTGGAATTCCCATCTCGATCTGGAACAGCTGCTGGGAGGAACATGCTGCTGGGCATCACCATCTCAGGGGTGGTCACCTGAGGAGTGAGAGGCAAAGAGACAAGGAGAGTCAAACGGAGAGGAAAGACACAAAGTAGGAAGGGTTTCAAAATTATTTAATAAGCAAAATTAGCCTTCACCAGGGTAAAGCTGGAGGTGTCACTTTTCATAGCTCACTGAAGATTTATGTTTATTAGACAAAGCTCACATCAGTCAAAAGTGTTTCTACGGTTACATTCTGGACATAATTAGCAGAGCACACTTGAAGAATAATCTTATTATTAATATTTTTCCTTTATGCAGAATTTTGACTTTGATCACTGACAATGTTTTGTCATGGGCTGTGAAACTTCTTGTGCAACCAATTAGGTAGATAAGTTGAAAGGCCCACCTTAAGCTGCTGAAAACATAATAAGGGTCCTAATTAAATCATACCTAGTAAAGTACACTGTAATCTTGAAGCAGGGAGCATTGTAGTACTGTTTTCAAAATGTATTCGGGCAAGAAGAGGAGGGGAGTAAGAGTGAAGAAAAGGGTAAGAAGGAGAGAGGAGAACAAAGGGAAGGCTAAGGACATGCAGGCACTTTGGCAGATTTTTCAGGAAAAACAGCATTTTGTAACCCTTTACAAGCTGCTATCAAGCACAAACAAGCGTTTTTCTGTGAATCCCTTAAACCAAGATTTCTTCTGGCATCCTTGCCTGTGGCATACATCACAGGCAATGTCTGCCTAGTGTCCAGCCATCAAAGGCAGTCTGCACAGCATTTGATAATGGGGCAGCCCCACCTTGACCACAACCATTATTCCCTAATAAATTCCATAATTACCCTAGACCCAAATAGCTACAGTTTTAGATCAGATCCTCAGTCTTTTCTCTATGCTTCCCTGTTGCATGGCCAGAAACTTGCCCCAACCACTTACCATTCTCCCTTTCAGCTGATAAGCAACCCTCAATACTATAAGGATAAATGGTTATTTTAAAAGGAGCAATGTTAGCCAGGAGTACACACCTGTAATCCCAGCACTGAGGGAGGCTGAGCCAAGAAGATCAAAAGTTTGAGTCCCATTTGGGCAATTTAGTGAGATCCAGTCTCAAAATAAAGAGGAACAGTCATGTAGTTCAGTGACACAGTGCTCCTGGGTTGGATTCCCCAGTACTGAAAAACGGGGGGCGGGGGGGGCAATATCCCTTTGTCTGCTATGAGGTAGGACGGTTAGGCACCAATGATAGTTACAAATTAGAAATTATCTCCCATTTGATTACAGTTTGAAAAATGGACTGACACAGAGGGTACTGGAACAGAAGCTGTAGTCACCACTGTAGCTGGTGTCACCACTACCCTTTCTACATGAAGCTGTAGTCACCACTATCCTTTCTACATGGTTCCCAGCCCTACTTGGAGCCATTATTTTCCCACATATGACTGTACTGCAATAACATTTTCACTTTCTGTTGCAAAAACTGGGACATCTACATTTTTATTTCAAATTAAATGTATTTTTAAGTTACTGCTAATTTTTAATAGTTTGAAGAACCTGGCCTTGCTCAAAATAGCCACTGATAGTTCCCTAAGATCACCAGCAACAGGCAGATCAGCTGGAGGAAACCCAGACGATTACAAGCATCGACACTAAAAAGTGACTCCGCATTCACATTCAGGGGTAGCAGAATTTTTTTCAGCAACTTGGATGCCAATAGGTACAAAAATTAAGCAACAGGCACTCCAGAGAAGAGCTGGGAGAAACCTCATGTTTACCGAGAGCAGGTGTGTGGCAGGTGAACGTGAGTGACATAGCACCCTTGCACAAAGCTCTCCGGCAGCTGGTTAGGGCTAGCTGCTGATGAATCGTTAGGAATGAAGTGGAGATTGCCAAACTCATTCCATCTATTTTCTCTTTAATAGAAAGCATTTCTGACCAGTGTGGTTGGGGAGTCCAGCGGGAATCCAAGAAGTGAAAGGTCACCGATTAATTTATAGTCTTCAGCCAAGGGGGAGCCCGAGGTTGGGGGTAAGAGGGGGAGAAAGGGAAAGGAAAAAAGACACCCCCCAACCTCCTTTCTTGGTTGTAGCTGCAGGATCAGTCCTTTCCTGCGATCTTTAGGAATTATGAAAAATGAATCATGAGAAATAAAAAAAAGCCCTACAGAGTAAAAAAGAATAAAATTATCTAACACCTCAGCTGCACATCATTATAGAAAACTGTGGGCTTTTTATACGCATTACAGTAAGGCAGACATCCCCTCTAACAGACTCAGTAAGACGGATCAGTAATTGTTTTCATACACTTTAATTAGAAAAACTCAGATGGCTATGAATAATAATGGAAAAGAGAGACTTTTGCACTTGAAAGGTTGAAGTCAATCAAGTGTGAATGACGGCAAAAAAGGAAAAAAAAAGACACCAATTCATCAGCCCTCTGTTGTCTCGCTGCGACTTTAATCATAATTCCTGATTGGGATTCAAGAAGGCAGTAAGCAGCGGTTCTTTGTCTGCCTTCACCTTCCATCAATTAACTCTCCCCGAAATATAATCATCAACCTCACATGCTCCTCTGCATCTTAATCCGGGCTCCAAACCTGGAAGTCTTGCCCCATATGTGTTTAAGTAACTACTTTTATCTACCTGCCTCTCTTCTCAACTACAGTATACCCAACCTCTCACTGGAAAAAAAAAAAAGCTTTGGTGTAGGAAATTTTAACAGGCAAGAAATCCCTAGGAGGCAAAATGAAGCATCCCTAAAGGAAATGTTAAGGGTCTAGAAATTCTGGTGGGGTCTATGTGCATGTGTGGCTGAGCAGACAGTGACAGTGGAGACCGCCTTGCTATGCAGGCCACCGGAGGGCCTCACATCAGCTTTCAGACACTAATGTTCCCAGGGCTGGGCCCATTCCTTCCTCGTCCTATCAGCTTCTAAAACTTGTCCCTCCAAGCTTGCGTGCTTTTCCCTAAAGAGCCCTCAATATAACCCTGCCAAGAGAGCTCACCGAAGAAAGGACAGAGATCCAAAGGCAGAGCTCCTCAGCACTTGCCTTGGCGCTGCCTTTGTTTTCTAATCATATCTGGCTACCAGACGGCATGGAAGGTTCGGACTGTCTCAGACAGTCTTTGATGGCCAGATGAAAATGGGCAAATCACCCACTCCACTGTGCTAAATGCATTCTGTAATGGCATTTTTCCTTTCACAAGGAGACTGAAGCATGTAGGTTTATGAGAGGACAAAGGTAACAGCATAACCAAGATGATTCTAAATGTACCTACTTTCAGAGGTCCTCAAATACCTGAATCCCACCTCCAATGTCTCTGTTCAGACAGCACACACGTGTACCATCTTTGCTCTCTTCCCTGATTTTTCTCTATTTGCCCAAATTTTCCTGACCCTCTTCCCCAGCTGTGGACTCAACGCCAAACAGAAAAAGTTCTGAGGTTTGGCTAATACACAATCATTTCAAACACCTACACGCTGTGCTGTCCACAGAACAGAATTACTATCCTAATAATCAGTACAAACGTAAACACTGAACGCATGCAATTACGTCTCCCATACTCTACTCACCATTGGGCATGTGAATATTAAAATAGATTTAACAAGTCCTTCTCGTTAAGAAAATTCAATCAATTAGTATCATTACTTTTTCAGTAATGATTTAGGTCTCAAGACTGTCCTCAGTGGGGCAAAGAGTGATGTGGATACTGTATTTTCCTGCCATCGCTTGTGAACCGTGTCGATCACTTTCCTCCCGGAGTATGCAGAGGGTAACAGGAACACAAGAAGAACCCATCAGCGGAAGGGTTCTTTCAGTAGGTGCCGAAACCCCGGAAACAGTGGTTCCCACATCCCCCTAACAAGTAAACTGGTCTCACGTAATATAGGAGAAGTGCTTCTGGTTTAAGCAGTTCTCACACATAATAATAGAAACAAAGGAGGCCTACACTGATGCTCAAAATCTTCAAGCTTAAGCAATCTCAAAGCAGCTCAGTGTTGAAAATGAAGGGCCTGGGGCTGGAGATTTAGCTCAGTGGCACAGCACCTGCCTGGCAAGCATGAGGTCATGAGTTTGATTCCCAGTACCAGAAAACAAACAACAACAACAACAAAATGAAGGACCTTAAGTGACTCTGCTTATCCATTCGTTTGACCTCCATTTAGTAAACACTGGACAGAGATCCTGTGCTGCGTGCTTGTAAGATACAGACAGCAAGACAAGGCCCCTGCCCCCGCAAGAAGCTCACGGTCCAGAAGAACCTTTTGAGGTCAACAACTCCTTAGGAAATCTGATGAAAGTTGCAGACTCCTAGAAAAATGCTTTCACATACAGAATACTGCAGACAATTTCAGGGAATCATAGGCTCCCTGGAGGGAAAGCATTCATGGATTCAAATGAATTTACCGTTGATCAACTGAGATGCAACCATGGGTTCATAAATACCTAGTTCCAGCCTCCTGCTAGTTTGTTTCATCATTGTTTTGGATTATAATTTACCACCTTTCCAGATTCTATGAGGTGAATAGACCCCAAATCCCCAAGGACACGCACAGTGCCCAGGGTCTTAGATGAATCTTAGATGGGGTTCTGGTCCTCCCTGCCCCATGACATCTGGGAGAGGCTGCTGCTATTTATTTCTTTTTCTTTTCGAGGGAAGGTGGAGTTAGAAGGAATACAGTACCAGCCCATTCCCCTACTCGCAGGTCACAGATGTGCAACATCCAAATTTAACCTTCTATAGCCAAGATCACGCTCCACTAATTTCTTATGGGCGTATTCATAAAAATCCATCTCTCCAGGCTAACCTCAGACAGGCTGGCCTACGGTAGATCACTGCATCCAACACATGCCACATGCTGGTAAGCAGAGATTCTTTTCTTTCTTTTTTATTTTTTTCAAGGAAAAGTGTTGAGACTGGTTTCTCTGAGACCCTTCGCGCCTCAGCCTTGGCACAGCTCCCTGAGGAAGGGCATCTTTGTGAAGGCCCACTCTTCCAAGTGAAGGTAGGTTTGCCAAGGATTTTTCAGGGAAAATCAATAGAACAAAGCACCT